AAGAGTCACACTCACCAAACAAAAAGCGGTTGATGCCAAGTCTGTATCTATTACCAGATCACGAAAACCCAATTTTAAGAAATGCTATGAAGGCACAACCCCTGACACTTACCACATGTGTCTTAATACATACAAGGTGGCAAAATTTTAAGAAAAGTGATCATTTTAATTGCTGGTAATATCTCTTTGTGCTTCCTCTTTAGAGAAAAGCTGTATTTATTATTTCAAAACCTTATGTGAACAAAAATATTTAAGTCATGAATATTTAAATGATGGCACTAGGCCAATCTTAGATTATAAAGGTCCGAGGTTAATCTGGCAAATCTTGGTAACCCCTAATTCCCTAGTGGGCTTCTTTAAAACAAATATTTTAAAGCCCATCGACAGACCAGTGTGAAGCCAAACAGATTTACAGTCCACCTCTTCATGAACATTCAGCAAGATGCTAAATCAAAGATGTTTGTTTCTGATCACCATGTACAAGTTCCCTCTCGGGAGTCTATTAGGTTGTTCTGAATTTGTAATTTCCTTGAAGCTCTGTCACTTTTAATAGGTATGTGTCTTGCCAGAAGATGCTTACTTCATTCTGACAGTGACAGAAAGCTCACTAAAGATGTAGTGTCACCAGTTTCTTTCTGAAAGTCTGAAGAAAGGAAAAACTGCATTTAAAAGGCTGCATATTATACATAATGTAGTTCATTAAATAATAAATTCAAGAATTGTCATTTTTGCTTTGATAGTTTTGAAAGCCACTCCTGATAAAGGGGCTGTACACATTTGCTCTGCCCTTTCGTCTTCATTTACCTGTCAGGATGAATGGAAGAGAGCACAAAGACGAGGAGAATGACATCCAGGATCCCATCTGGAAAAGGGTAGGGTAGGCTATCGTCACAAACGTCATGAACAAAGGCACAGCACTGGGCTGCTCTGTATGACGCGTGCGACTGTCATGATAAAGGAATGAAGAGAAAAAAACAGTTGTTAGCAGACTTCTAGTACTTTTCTCAAATTAAAAAGGTCAATTTAACTTCTCTCAAGTGCCTTTCTTCTATAAATTTGATTTTTGGATTAGGTATTCTGTTAGGTTATTTCAAGCTGTCATTAAAAATTAAGTCTAGCACTTGGACTTGATAACAAATATTCTTTTGCAATCCCTCCTTAGCTTGAAAAGTGGAGTAGGGCAGTCTTTCTGAGTCAGTAGGCAGTATTGCTGGAAGCCCACCCTGTGTTACTTCAGAGGTAAGTAACTGAGATGGTCCTCAGTTCTCTCTCTCACTGCTTATTCCATGCCTCCTCTGGCATTAATATATAAATATCCTATAGTATATAATCAACATTAGATAATGGTGATGGCTGTATAACTCTAAATATACTAAAAATCACAGGACTGTGTATTTTAAAATGGTGAAATTTATGGTACGTGAACTATACCTCAGTAAAGATGCTATTTTAAAAAACCACATTAGAGTACATACACACACAATTTGCCTATAAAAACAACACTAGAAGGATATATACCAAAATACTAACAGTGATTCACTCTAGGACTCTAAAAAAGCATATTATAGGTAAATTTTATCTTCCCCTTTAGGCTTTTCAGTATTTTAGAAAATGTCTACAATGAAAAACTATTAACTCTTACTACCAGAAATTATGTTCCATGTGTTTACTATACATTTTTGTTAGAATTTCCATTCCTTTTCCATTTCCTAAAATTACCTCTTTTTGCTATGATAATGCTTACTAGCATTTGGGAATTGGTCAAATAAGGCCCAGTTCCCACCACTGTTCTCCTTACAGTTAAGACATTTTAGATTTGTAATATATGCCTTTTCAGACCTTTTTTTTTTCAAAATTTTTAATTTAATGAATACCTACTATGTGCCAAACTGTGTGTAAAGCTCTAGGGACATAAATATAAATACCACCTTGTAGGAACCACTCCCTTGAACTCTATATTAAATCCCAAACAATTTCTATTGTTTTAGGGTAACATCTTAGGCATCGGTTGATGATATGATTTGCAAAATTGTAAAAGCTCAGTTAAAAATGGTCACAGATTACATTTGATGCAGTTACATTAAAAAAAATCACTTCAACAGCAAAAAATTAGATTTTTTAATATAGCTCTCTTTAAAGAAAATATAAGGCATACCTTTACCAGCTCCACAGCTCCAGAAGCAAAATCACAACAATAAAGAAAGAACTCTGGAGTATTCCTATGAAAATGAAAGAAATATTTAAATCTAGAGCCCAGATATGCTGAAGCTACAGAAGAAAGGAAAGTGTAGGTTTGAACTTGTTAGTATTTCTTTAACAGAATTTTGGATGACACTTGGCTTGTTGTTTCTTCTTTTTAGACACTGTTCTCTGCAGTGGTGTGTGGATGCCTTCACGTTGTTTCTGAACCAACATTATCTCAAACAGTTATCAATTACAGGGTAACTTTCAAATTCCTGCCCTGATTTTAAGGCCCTCCATTATGTGGGCCTACTTGCTCTATATCCCATCATACTCTCCCATGGGAAACCTCCAAAGCCATCCATCAGTGTTGCTCAATCTTCCTCCTACCCCTCACAGGCACTCTTTCTTGTCTGCCTCCAGCCAGCATGGCCTGTACCTTCCTCTTAGCTTAGCCAAGTTCTATCCTCTCCAAGGACCCTCAACCCCCAGTTGCATTTACGTGCTTTTAAATATGATATTAATATGTTTATATTAACAGCATGTAAATACAACTTCTAAAAATAATAAAACACTAATATATTCTTATCGTTTCAAGTGATTGTCAAACTTTTTTCCTCTCCTGTTGCGGAGCACAGGCTCCGGACGTGCAGGCTCAGTGGCCATGGCTCACGGCCCCAGCCGCCCTGCGGCACGTGGGATCTTCCTGGACCGGGGCACGAACCTGTGTCCCCTGCATCGGCAGGTGGACTCTCAACCACTACGCCACCAGGGAAGCCCAATTCTCAACCTTTTATTGAGCCTTACAGATGGACCAAGCGTTAGAATACTAAGTAGTAAATGAAACTGTCTAATAAAAACTGTCTAGTAAGAGCATGGGATTTGGGAGCCAATTAAACCTGTGTTTAAATCCTGGATTTGCCAGTTATTAACACTGAATTTGACTTAGCTTCTCCGAGACTCAGTTGCTTTACCTACAATATGTAAATAAAGTAAGCAAATTCAGGGTTTTTTTTGTGGGGGGGGGATGTTTACCCATATGAAAATCCTGACTAATTTTAATTGGCCTCCACTGAACTTAGAAAAGTTCTATTTGGTCTTTAACTGAAATTCAGTAACAATGGCTGAGCCATGGTTACTAATGGGCAGGCACATACAGCTGTCCCTTGAACAATACAGGTTTGAACTTCACAGGTCCACTTACACATGGATATTTTTCAATAGTAAATACTAAGTGCTATATGGTCCGTGGTTGATGGAATCTGCGGATACAGAAGGAACCACAAATACGAAGGGTTGACTATAAATTATTCGTGGACTAACCCCCCACATTGTTCAAGGGTCAACTGTACTTTGAATTTTGTGGGTCAGTACCCTTCCTAATCATACCTTGTATGTTATTAGCAAAGGATCCTTGCATCATCTTGCTTAGTAGTGTGCCTGAATCACAGAAAGAGATCAGTATGTTCTAAACGTAATTATAGGTATGGTCCTGGCTCTTGTGGATTTTATAGACTAGTTGGGGACATATACAATTTCTATAGAAGTGTGCATAAGGCAGGCACCCTCAGGTGAAAGTCTTAAGAATTTTGAAGGAGGGGGATGGCATTACTAAGTGGGGAGAAGGGGAAAGGGTTTAGAAGTGGGAGTCACATACTAGGGATGAGAAGCAGAGTTGATCCTGAGAGCCCAGTGTGTGACAGGATATATGGGCTTTGAAGAACATAATTAGAACTTCTAATTTGATTCAGGAGGCATTTCAAACAAGGAGGACTTCTAAATAAATACAGAATATAAGCACAAATATGCATTTAGCAAAATCTCACCCAGGCTTGCATTACTCTCTTGAATGCTACTCATTGATGAATACTACATTCATGTATAATATTCATATATAGTAGAGTATTCATATATAGTGCCATTCTGTGGCACTAGGGGTTTGTATTCAAATTAAGATCTGTCCAAATAAATTAATGTATCAATGAATAGGATATGGTTATGAAAAGTTAACCCGTACTGAATCAAAGTTAAAACTTGTGCTGCTTATCTTTTCTCATCCATCCCATATAAAAATTGTGCTTTATTGCAGCATGTATACCCTTATTGTTTCCTATGAAATCCATATATTTGTGACTTGTAATTGTTGGTTGGTCACACATGTTTGAAATGTCTCAAAAAACACTCAGATACATATAGTACTATGTGGTATGATGGCTAAGGGCAAGGGCTCTGAAACAAGACTGCCAAGGGTTGAATCCTGGCTCTACCACTTAGTTGGGTGACCATGGAAGAGTCATCTAATCTCTCTGTAATTGGTTTCCTCATCTTTATTTTTTTAAATTAATTCTTTATATTGGAGTATAGATATTAACAATGTTGTGTTAGTTTCAGGTGTACAGCAAGGTGATTCAGTTACACATATACATATATCTATTCTTTTTCAAATTCTTTTCCCATTTAGGTTACTACAGAATATTGAGCAGAGTTCCTTGCGCTATACAGTAGGTCCTTGTTAGTTATCTATTTTAAATATAGTAGTAGTGTGAATATGTCAATCCCAAACTCCTAATAGAGATAAATATGGCATCTAAGTTGGTTGTAAGGATTGAATGGACTCATATATGTAGAGTTTCTAGAAAGGTGCCTGACTCAGAGTAAGCACCTAATAAATGTTAGTCATTCTTATTATTGTTGCTATCATCATCACCATCATCATTATCATCATTGTTATCATCATTAAAGGAAGATCTGCCTCTGCCTTCCAGGAACTTTTAAGAAATTAACATGGTTCTATAAATACTTCCATATAGCTCAAAATGCTTCTCTGGACACTGGCACATCTAGCTATTATGAAAGGTATGCAGTCTATCTTTGGGCAGTAGTTACTAAACACTCACAAGATACAGAACAGTCTAGTAAGCTAAAGGAAGGCATGTGCCATTTGCCATGTGTCCTACCAGACGGCAGCTTGACCTCTGAAACTGAATTCCCATTGCATCAGCAACCCAAGTTGGTCTTGTGACCACCCAATGACTTTACAGAGCTTTTCAGTAAAATCGGCTGACTGCCTTGGCCCTTCTCCCAGCAAACAGGTGTAAATATCACCACTACCACCACACCACCAAGCAGTCTCTTGGCAAGGGGTTTAAGAATTAAATGATCCTTGGAGAATGATATGACCTCTCAATTCCAGAGGTCTAATTATGGTAAAATATTCTAAAAATGTAAAACATTAATCTTATACTCTCCAAAAGTAATAAAACACAATTTCTGTGGTGGGAAAAAAATGTCTAATCCTCCCTTTGGAAGACTAATCACTGGTTGCCTTTTAAAGATGAATTAATTATCTCAGGTTATTGAGCTACAGTGATTTCTAAAATATGAATATGAGGCAAAAAAAAAAGAGACATATCCACAAAGAAAGATTATTAGTTGGAGGGAGAGGTAGAAGAGGGAAAAATACAACTAACAAGTGGGGAGCCAGAGATATTAATCAGTCAGTATGTACCAAGCTCTATCTATATTGTATTGTTAGGCTACCTGAAAAATCAGATTAGAGTAAAATATGCTCTTTACCTCAAGGAATATATGAATAGTAGTTGAAGAAATAAGACATAAAGAAATGATATGCTAAATAATAACTTGAGATGAGTCATAAAGTAATACATAATCAACTGCCAGCGTAGTAGATTTATGTGTATTACAAGTTCAGAGATCACGGGGGTGAAGGAATCTGGCTATGTGGTATAAAGTACAGGAAATTTTGGCCCAGAAACTGGAAAAGGGAAAACAAAGAAAATAAGTCCCGAAAGAGAAAGACCATTCAGAACTGCAAGTTGGCCAGCACCACTTCTGGCTGGACACTTTAACTGGTAATTTGATATTAGGGAATTACTTAATTTTTATTATGTTAGGTTTATAATAGTAATGAAGTATGTCCTACTTTTTTGGAGATCCATCATAAGTACTTAAAGTGTCATGATGTTGGCCTTATGTTAGTAACTGTTGAAACAAGGTGGTGGGTGTATGAGAATACACTGTATTACTCAGTTTTTCTGAATGCTTTTACATTTTCACAATGGAAAGTTAAAAAAAAAAAAGACTTTCTTAAATTTAAAAATAGGCATAGTGAAAAGACTGAAAGGAATTATAACAAAAATTCTGTCAGCAGCTATGCTATGGTGGTGGGAATAATGGGTGATTCCCCCCAACCCATTTTCCTCTAATGGGAACGTTCTACAATGTGCTTATGTTGATTTTATAATGGAAAACTAATGGGAAAGCTATCATGTAAACTTAAAAAAAAAATAGGGACTTGACAGACCAGCCATAGGTAAAAGGTGTTAAAGTTTTGTAAGCTGTATCTTCTTCATCACCTACTAAAACGCATAGGTGAGGTGGTGAACAGGAAGGGCAGATCAGGAGAATATCTTTGCTCCTATCCCCTACTTCTGCCTTTTTGAATCTTAGGGTTAGATGCTATCACTCCAAACAATTTCAAGTCTAGATACAGTCATGTGACATAGGAAGGTTTTATACTGGGTGCGGCTCCAGAAGTGATGACAAAATAAAATGAGTTTAAAGCTTACACTTTATTTTGTGTAAGCTTTAAACTCAATTCTCTATGTGTAAAATGACACCTAAATAACCTGGAGGGGTAAATAAATCTCTAGAGTTCAGCAATTCCCAGCTTAGCGGAAGGATCAAACCTCTTACTCTCTTCTTATTCCCTCATCCACATAAACACAAGCTTAAAAAATTACTTCAACTCATGGTGGACAACCTATGCCTGTGAAACATTATTTTCAGAGTAATTCTCAGTTTACATGAAATTAGACACTCAGACCAAGACACTTCTTTTGAAATTTCCTTTAGTCATTGTTTATACGGGAACAAGAACACTACTGGCATATACATGACAACTTTTTCCCAGAATTTCCCAACCTTCCATATGTATGTAGCATTTTGTAGGAGAAAACTCTAAAACTCACTGCAAAGTGTTCAGAATTGGAAAAACACTATTCCCAGCACCACAGCCAACCTAAAATCAAAGAATAAACAAATATCATGAAAATAAAGTTAAATTTTCCTCATCAATATCAGATTTTTTTAATTAAAAAAAAAACTAAAAGGAATTTACTGGATCTCTGGGTATAGGAGAGTTTTCTAAACTCAAAAGCAATGAAGTAAATCACAAGAATAATATGCACTGAGAAATTTGACTATGGAAACATTTAAAATTTTTACATACCAAAACCCCAAAATAAACCAAATTAAAAGGTGACAAATATACAGTGAAAAAAACATTTGCATTAAATATGATAAAGGGCAGAGCTCATTTTTTAAAAAGCATCTGATAAATAAAGGAAATAAACAAAACACAAAAGAAGTACAAATGACTTCTAAACGTTTGAAGAACTATATGACCTATTTAACAATCAAAGGAATGCAAATTAAAATAAGGTATAATTTTTGTCTAACAAAGCAGAAAGCACTAAAATAAGAATATTCCAATCAGTAAGGGTGTGATGAAACAGACCTGCACTGCTGTGAATTGGTATTAGTACAACTTCTTAGAAAGCAATTTGGCAATATATTTCAACAGTATTAAAATTTTTTAATAAATTATGAACTAGTAAATTGAACCCAAATAATAAAAGAAAATGCAGAAAAGTATATACCCAAAGATGTTTGCTGTTGAAAACCTGAAAACAATTTAAATGCCCAGTCAAGTGAAAACAGGTAAGTAGAATCATAGTATTCCACATAGTAAAGTATTTTGCAGCCATGAAAATGTTTACAGAGAATTTTTAAAGATAGGGAAAACTGTTTACGTTATAATGTTCAATACAAACAAAGCAAAACCCCAAAATGCAGGTAGAGTATAGCTCAACTATACAAAACAGTATAAACAAAAGGAGAAAAAAGTCAGTTAAATGTTAACAGTGGTTAAATTAAATCCCTTGTTTATGGGACTGTAGATTATTTTATTCTTTCTCTTTAGCAAATTCTCTGTAAGCAGTATATATTATCTTTACAATAGGAAGGAAAAGGTTTATTTTTTAAAATAGAAAATCAAGGTCTACACCAGATTATAGCAAATTACATACTTCACTTATTTCTATTTCACCTAAAAGTGGAAAGAGATAGAAATTAAGGCCAAAACTTTATTGGTATTTAAAACTTCCTTCAAGTTAGAAATTAAAGTAGACAAATTTTAAAAAATTTAAATCACAAACTTAAAACCTGACTAATTAAAGATGAGTCCCTTAAATAATTTTTATGCACAAAAGTATATGAACACTTATTTAATAGTTAGATTTGATCATTTCCCCCCTAAAAAATCTGGATCGTTATTAAAGTAATATGGAATGTACATTGAAAAATTTTTGCCCCTGCAGTACCATACCTCTAGGATTCTGAAAGTGGCGTTGCTACCAGGAAACAATTCAGTCTTCAGAGGTCCTTTTCTGTGTTCTTTGGAGTCTGGGTTGGAAAAATCAGATCCTGCTTTGTTTTGACCATCTGATGAGCCAGGACTTTCTCTATCATGATTTTTTTCTTCAGGCATAGTAGGGCAGTGCATTCTTGAGAAACAATTTGCAGCATGAACTTTTACATGATTCCATGATAATTCTTTTACCTTCTTTTCAGTTTTTTGACCAACTGGAAGAATTTCAGGAAATTCCCTCAACAGCCAATTACGATCTTTGAAAAACTTATTCTTATGTATCTTATAAAATGTGTCCCAATATTTACTAGCTTCACTCTCATACTTCACTAAAATAAAGAGAAGAAAAAAGATTTATTTTACTATGAATTATATTTATCATTAGTTACTATTTTAATAACTAAATATATTTAATAATTAAATACTGTTAAATATATTACATATACTATTCATTTATAACATTTACTATTGAATAACTTTAATATTATAATAATTTTTACTTATCTGATTTTTTTTAACCTTTTTTTTTTTTTTGCGGTACGCAGGCCCCTCACTGCTGTGGCCTCTCCCGTTGCAGAGCACAGGCTCCGGACGCGCAGGCTCAGCGGCCATGGCTCACGGGCCCAGCCGCTCCGCGGCATGTGGGATCCTCCCGGACCGGGGCACGAACCTGTGTCCCCTGCATCGGCAGGCGGACTCTCAACCACTAAGCCACCAGGGAAGCCCTTTTTTAACCTTTTAAAGGTTAAAACTACAGAGTATTAATCCTCACAAAATGTGTCAACGTGTGGGTTATTTGGGCTTACCCTGGTAAGTCTGCTTCTGTCTCAATTAGTTTAGCCAATACATTTTTGTGAGGAATATAATCATTGCACACTGCTTTCTACAGTCTAATCTTGAAATCTTAATGATCACATTTTTACCAATAACCTGTAAGGCTCTTTATTATCTTAGAGAAATGATACCTCATTTTTTATGTCTCTGTAAATGCAGCTTCAACACGACAAATGTCTGTGCAAACTGGTAATCAAACAGGAAATTGTGGAATAATAAATGACATAATCGTAGAGCTAGAACGGTCCATTGCAATAATCTACTCCAACCCCCTTGTTTCACGTTTGAAGAAAGGACATGCAGAGAAATGAACCCACTTGTCTGGGTCCTGGAGCACGGTCACAGCAGAAGCAGGACCGTATGTTCTGACTCCTGGGGTCTAGGGGCCATCCCGTAACTCCATTCTTCACCCACCTCCAGAGGCACCTCTTCTTATTGACATCTCCTAATATGAAGCCTTAAAGAGAATTTCTGATACAATTTAAAAAGAGATATGCATTTTGTGATGTCATCCCTTCGATTACCCTGGGTCCCAGCATCAGGGTTAGGTCAACAGTCTCAGACCTTCAGGCAATTCTTAGCTTTCTGCCTCTTTCTATCTGCAGCTTAAATTAGTATAATCATTAATTCACTCACTTTCTCACTCACTCACTCAAGAAACATTTCTTGGATACTATTACATACCAGACCTAATCCCTGGATTAGGAACTACTTTCACCCAGTGTGACATTTCTAAAGTGCCTTCAAAAAATTAAAAAAACCTTCCATTGATATAGAATAATTTTCAAGACTTAATGTTAGGTGAGAAAGCAAAATGTAGAACAATAAGTATATGATGCAACTATTTATTAGAAACAAAAGAAGAAAAAAAATACATGTGTGTACATACACAGGAAAACAGTCATGTATGTATGTATACATATTTACTGCTATACGGGCAGAATACTTCTGGAAGGATAATCACATAATTAGTAGTACTGGTTGCCTCTAAAGAGTGGAACTGAGTGGCTGGGGACCAGGGTTTGAGGAAGAATTCTCATTTGAATTTTGATCCATATGAAATTATAATCTATTCCAAAAATAAACTAAAACTAAAAACAACAGACTCATTTCTTTGAGAATTTTAAAGAAGCCCTTACCCTCAGAACAAGCAGTTGCCTATAGTCAGGTTTGTCTCTGTTACAGAACCCTGTCCTGAAGCCCTTATATTTTTCTTTTCTTTCCACTTTTATCTTTATGGCCTTGTACCATGGATCTCCACCCATCTGGCCACAAGACTTTTTTCCTATCAGGGCTGAATTGTATCTGGCAGCAGGACTGCTAGAAAGACAGAAACTCCCATCTGTATTTAAGGTCTGAGAAATGAAAGTAGATCTCTGTAACAAAAGAATTATGTGACGTTGAAGTCCAAAACATGCTCTCATCTGCACTAATGGGAGGAAGCCTATTTATCACTAATCTAAAAATGCTGTATATCTTTTAAATAGTTCTATCTCTACTTTTAGAAATTGGAGTGTACCTGATATACTGTGTAAGAAAACAAAACAACATTCCGAAAATCAGACTCAGGAGGAATTAGGAAACCGTCAAATTTCCCCAGGGTCTTCTCGCACCTTCTCTTCCTTTTACCTTAAGAACTCTCTTTGTAACTCACTCTATGCTGGTAAAAGATTTTTCTGCTTAATAAAAGGTGACCCACCTAAGAAGACCTATATTTATTCAAATCTCTAGCATTTGAGTTTCCAATACCAAGTTACTTGTGAAGTGAGTTTGAACCTAACTATAAGTAACTAGAATGTAATATAAGTGATTAATTTGTGGAAATATCCCCCTTGGAATTAATTGGCAGGGGAAGAGATAGACAGCAGTGGAGTAACTTGAAAGAAAAGATGTTCATAGCAGTGCTATTTATAATAAGAAAAAGTGGAAATAACTCAAACAGCCAGCAACATAGGAATAACCAAGCAAACCATGCATGTCAAAACAGAGTAAACTTACGTAGCAATTAAAATTTAAAGGATAATAATATTAAGAGAAAATATTCACACAGAATGGTCTATACACTGACTGCAACTCTAAAATTTATTTTATATTCATTTATAACCATCAGGTGGAAATCTGGAGTGCTGGTAACAATTTAACGATTATTAGGTAGTTCTTTCTTTTGCAAAGTTTTATCTACATCTTACATGAAGATAAAGAATCTTGGTTGAATTCTTCATTCTACTTGCCCATAGAGTTTCCTCATTTGATGAGGGGTTGAATTAGAGCAGTGGCCCCCAACCTTTTTGGCACCAGGGACCAGTATCGTGGAAGACAATTTTTCCACGGAGGTGGGGGGTGGGGGGGGTGATGGTTCAGGAGGTAATGTGAGCGATGGGGAGCGATGCGGAGCGGCAGATGAAGCTTCGCTCACTCACCTGCTGCTCACCTCCTGCTGTGCGGCCTGGTTCCTAACAGGCCACAGGCCGGACCCCTGAATTAGAGTATCTCTATGTTTAAGCTCTAAAAAGTCTATGTACTTTCCTATTAAATCCCATGAATTTATGGAGAACATTAAACATTCAGTTCTACAAACTGCAAAATCTTGGATCAGATTGCTGTCACAAATATGAGCCTGTACTACTGTTTAATTTCTACAGTTTACAGAGAAAATGAATCTGCAGTGAGGTGACTAGAATCTGGTGCAGGTACCAAATATATCAAGCACCTAAATTCAACCCTAGCTTATCCAATCTTTAAAAAGGATCTGATTACTATTAACAAATGATAGTCAAGGTCTGCTAATATATATGCTTTCAAGCCTTTTTCAAGTATTTCCCACTCAGGAATTAGGAGGAAAAAAACAAACATCACATAAATCATTGTACCAATAATAGCAGCACAATAGTACATACTAAGTGTTTATTTTGTGCCAGGCACTATGTCAAATGTTACTTGGATTTTTTTCCCATTTAATCCTAATAATGCCTCTCAGATAGACATGTTATTCCGATTTATAGACAAAGAGGTTCAAGGTCAGAGGGGATAAAAAAATTTGCCCAAGGTCACCCAGCAGAGCCAGGACCTGAACCAATTCTATCAGACTTTATGCTCTTAATCATTATACTATACTGCCTTCCTAACACAAAATCAAGATTAACCCCCTCCAAAATATCTTGAAAATAATCTGTTTTTCTGATTTTGTACTTTCCTCTCATTATGAAGCATCAAGCTGAAATTAAAACCTCAGTATGACTTATAATCAGTATAACCAAATAGTAAAAATAATGCTGATTGGAGTGAACCTACATAAAGACAGATCAGAAAAACAGACTTAATTAAACCCCATTTGAATTATATAAAAAATAAACTATGCAAGGTTGTACGATGAAATTATGATGAGCAACAGGAACATAAAATGCTCTATGAGAATAGATGGGTTTGTGGGACAGCAACAAAACAGAAACAAAACAGGATAGTCTGGGATAAAGGCTGGGATAAAGTCTGGGATAAAGGCTGGGATAAAGGCTCATTAGAGCTGGAACTTTTTTTTTTTTTTTTT